TTCTTGTAATTTATTTTATTTCTGAAGAAAATTGCAGTTTCCCTTCACTTAGTTTACTAAAAATATTATAGTGTAGTTTAGTTTTTTCCCCACTTTCTACCGAAACATAAACTAAATATAAACTTCACGAAAAAGACGCTTATATGTACTTTCAGCCACTTTTTCGATGCTCATAGTAAATTACGTCAGTGTTATGTAACTGGACCTCCAGTACGTGCTTGGCGGCTGACGAACTAGCGAAAGAAGTAATCCACAGGTGGTCGCGAAAAAATAAAAGAAAAAAACAACTCATCCTTCTAGATTGATTATCCAATAAAATAACGACACGCCACAGTTTAATGCGGTTTCACATGAAAAAAAAGGGGCTACCACTCTGATGTCTTCTGCGGCAGCTGTAGAAGAGGAGAATGAGTTCATTGAATACTACTTCTGTGAATGTTCAACATAGACATTTGCCCAACACCAATTCCTCAGGAAAGACTTCTTCGACTGTCTCGTTGAGCTGGCAATCCCTTTGCTTTCATAAGACACACGAAATGTGTCGATCATTTGGTTAGATGAAGAAGAAGCCTAAGCGGTATCACAACGGGCATAGTGGCCAATAGCTGCAGCAGCACAATTCAACTCTATGCTAGAAATTAGAAATTAAGTTTTCGGATTTCGACAGTCAACGAAGATCGAATATCGAATGTAACTCATAATAACTTGTTCAGAGGTGGGATATTCACCACAAATGGTGCTCTGCAATGAAAGCAAAGAAGGTGGTATGGGTAATAAATGAGTTTCTCTAATAGATAAGTCAAATCGAAAACAATATAGTATTACCGCACCTAAAGTGATGGTCAAGCAGTTCACTTTGAACTTAGTATAGGTATCTGGATCCAGTTATCTATATAACGGTCTGCAAAGAAGGATAATTTTCTTTGTCTTTAGCCATCGTGAAAGACCTTCTCATACATTTATATTTCTTAAAAAAAATAGGAATATTTTATTTTTTAAATAAAATTTAGTTAACAATAGCTACTATGAAAAATGAAATTTATAATTATGCAAAAAATTAAAATATTTGAAACCAGAAATTAAAGTAACATTTCAAATAAGTTAAAAATGACAAGTTACAAAATGTAAAAGTAGATTCCTATATCGCTCTTCTCTTGTAAACTCGCTCTAAAAGAGTTATTCATCACACATGCTAATTTAAATTGAAATAGTTGTAGTGTGTATGATGGGATGAAAGAAGCCCACGAGAGTTTATCTCGTCAAAAATAAATGGAATAACTCGAATTATGAATCTTCTTATGGTAAATCGTCACTGAGACAAGCACGCAGAGATACTCAGTGCACCTACAAACCAGCAACTGTTGCAGAAAGAAAAAAAATTCTGAAACCTTAATGCTATTCTCTTCCTTTTCATAGAAGCTTGTTTGGTGCCCCAAGTTAGCTGATGTCCATGCTAACCTAACCTAACCCGCATAATCAATTATTTAATATTTTTATTAGCTGTAAAAAAAATTATTTATTATAAATTCGTAATATCTAGATTAATTTCAATCGAAAAAAAATTGAAACTAAAAGAGAGAAAAGCACATCGCACTCAAATATGCATTAACATTTTAAATTCAAGCATGTAAAATAAGTCGATGAAGTGTGTACATATTTACATACATGTATGTATTTATATACATATGATAATATATGTTTTTATGCATGTGAAATAACCTACACTTGAAGTCATTAATTTGCAACGCATCCAATGTGGCTTGTCAGCCAGTGAACCGTGTTAATCGATAACGATTACGATTCCATCTCAATAAACAAATAGCAACAATGTGCTCGCATGCATGCCGAAGCTTAAGTAGCATAAGTAGCTCGACAACACAGCGAAAATGAATAAGTTATTCTCTTGCTTTGCACTAAATTCCCAGTAGTATAAATTAAATATGCGTAAATTGCAAATTTAGCAGATATGCACATGCATGCAAATACATATATATATATATACACAATAATTTATAAGCGAAATTTATTATATCAATAAGCTGGACGCTTGAGGATAAACTACACGAACTTCTCCGCACATTAATGCGAAGTGGAAAGTGTTGAGTAATTATTTATGGGAATTTCTGGTGCAGACAGGCCACGAAATTTTGCATACCCACCTTACATACATTACCATTACAATAATAATAACAATAATTTATATAATATTTTATTTTCATTGTTTTCGCTCGAGTACCAATTGTTATTGTTTGGCAGGCCATATATATAAGGCAAAACAGTGTTGCTTTTTCATGAATTTTCTGATTTGTTTGTGAAGCAAAGAGTCAAAGTCGTATATATACCTACATACAATATATATATATATGTATGTATGGATATGTGTTTTAGGAATTGCCAAACTGCTTTGGCAGAAAATTATGTTTGATCTCTGGTTAGTCTCCGAGGTGGGATAAAAGGCGCAAAAAATTGTGCAAATAAATCTATAAAACATATAAAAATTTAACAAAGAGTATGCACGTACAATTTACTTGCCTGCGTTTGAAATAATGCGTGTTAATGGCACATAACAATAAATTACAAATAATGGAGAAAAACTAAAAAAAAAAAGAAAAAACAAATATCTGAAATGAAGTCAAGTAAACTTTATTATTTATACAGATATGCACACACACATATACACCAGGTAAACTAAAGTCAGCGCCAGCAGTTTGGAAATTTTTCTTGCTATACGAGTATATGTACTCGTATGTATGTACATAAGGGCATGAAAATAGCGTGCAAAGAGGGGGTCAGACAATGGGGGAAAACAATAAAAGCGGAAATTCCAAATTTTCTGCTGCGCATTTTTGCAACATATTTTCAGGTGTGTGTACTTTGCCTGTTGCTGCTGGCAATTGGAATGCAACCTTGGCAAAAGTACTCTGCTTTATGCTTTTCATAATAATATTGTATGTGTGTTACGTGTAAAATGATTCATGCTTTCATTTCTGCCCAATTCCTTTGTTATTTATATTTACACGCTTGGACGAGCATTTACATATGTATGAGTTGCACATACATACGTGCATACATACATGTGCATGTGCACATATTTATGTATAAAACTTTTTGTTGGAATTATTATTATGATTTTCTTCACGTAATAGAGTGAGAAGCCTCTAAATTTGTTCTTATATATGCTGATTGCTCTCCTTCCAAGCCACATCACTGCAATATTTCTCTCTCTCTCACTCTTCTCCTGAATTGACGCAGCCACCGCACAATCGTTACATGTCTTAGCCAATTAGAGCTGCAAAGAAAAACCAAATCTTTTTCAACCTTCATTTTCCAAGGCAGCCGCCACATCTATGTTTACTTCTTGAGCAATAGTATGCTTTCAAACCCTCCACCACATTTCCTCATAGAAGACCTATATGCCTATGAAGCTTAAAATGCTATCCGACAGTTCCTTTATACAGGGCTGTTGATGAGTGTTCCCGCTCTAAGAAGGTAGATGTGCAAGTCGAGTAGAAAATCGTTTGTGAACTTTTTAACCTCGAACCTTCGTAGGTTGAACTGACAGCCGCTTCTTGCTGCACAGAAGCGGGTGTGTAAATTTGCAACTACCACTTAATGACTAGAGTTCAGGTTTTTCCTTCGAGCAGATCTCAAACACCGGACACACGTTGTCCGCATAACACAACTTGATCGATTGATTGATTGTGGGAATTTCGTTGCGGAGGCAGCCCAGTAGATTGATGAATTCTATCTCCTAGAGTATTCGTATTATAAATATTAGGTCCGGTTCGGCTTTTATCTAAGAGATGGCGTTATTGTCCATAGCACTAGTGTTTCGTATCGCATCATGTCATATTATACGGCGCTGAAAGCGTGTTTATTCGCGCTAAATGTTTGTCTTAGACAGTTTTTCCATTAATTGACACAGTACATTGTGAGCGCTCGTCAAAGATGGACACCAGTAAAAAGAAAATTCGCTATATTTTACAGTTCTTCTTCAATCAAGGCGTAAAAGCAGCCAAAGCGGCTGAAAAAACTTAATTTAGTTTTTTGGCCCGATACCGTAAAGGAAGGTGTAGCACAAAAGTGGTTTGCTAGGTTCCGTACCGGTAATTTCGATGTCGGAGATGCGCCATAAGTCGGAAGGCCTGTCGTCGAAATTTGCGATCAAATCATAGAAATAGTGGAAACAGACCGTCACGTGAGCACTTATTTAACTATTAAGGAACTAAAGATAGGCCAGAAAACCGTTTAGAAACCTTTGGATAACCTTGGATTCAAAAAGAAGCTCGATGTTTCGGTGACACACGAACTAACGCAACAAAATCGACCCGATTATGAAGTGGATTATGACTGGCGATGACGATGGCCAAGACCGAATTGAAGGCCAGAAATGTTTTGCTCTGTGTTTAGTGGGATTGGCAAGGAATCATCAACTACGAGCAGCTCCCTTATGGCCAAACGCCAACTACTGCTAACAAATGGACCGCTTAAAGGCATCACTCATCCAGAAGAGGCCATCTTTGATCAACAGAGGCCGAGTTGTGTTCCTTCAGGACAACACCAGGCCACACACGTCTTTGGTGAGCTCAGATGGGAGGTCCTAACGCACCCACCTTATAGTCCGGCCCTGTCCATCGCGAGCGCGCTTAATGGTGAGAGTTGGCCGCAAGAGAGGCCTGTGAAAATTGGTTCTCCGAGTCTTTTGCCAATAGGGACGTAGCCTGGTACGAGTTGGCATTTCGTTGGCAACAAGTTTACGAACAAAATGGTGTATATTTTGCTTGAATCGGACAAATGTACACAAAGTTATCATATTTTGAAAAATCAATAAAAAAAAGAACGAACATTTTACTTGGCCAATTGTCTTCGTTTCAAGGAGTTATCGGAAAATCGATAATACTTTATTCCTTGACTAGGTTATGATGACTAAGTTCATTTTATTTCTAAGCTAGTTTTCAGATAAAATAAAAATCATTAATATTTGATTATTTTGATTTCAGACTCGATTAACCGTGCTTTTAGTGGAAAATTAACTTGGTAAGTTTGGATATAAATTTTTATACTATCATAAATGACATTTGCTTAAGCTTTTTCACTCAGACTTAATCCAAATGTTTAGTTTTTAATATCATCTTTAAAAAATTTTGATTCTTCACTCACATTCAGTTTTCATATTTCTTTATACGAAAGTCTGCTATTTTTGTCCTTAAGTATTGAGTACTTATGCTGCAACTACCCAACTTACGTAGCTATTATATGAGGACGTCATATAAGTGGAACGTTGTCACTGCTTGTCAATGCTGTTGCTGTTTCTTGTCCCGCAGAAAATACTCGTGGTTGCATATTCTATTAAAGTCGGGTGTTATGACTGTGCGCTATGTAAGATGGGTAGTTGCAGCATTAGTCGACGACGCGACATTAAGAGTGCGACAGCGATCCTTGAGATCGTCAGTTGCTGTCAAACTACACAATTCAATTTGCCTATTTAAAATTATAAATTTTATTATTGTTTGCTTTTCTGAATTGCTTATACGAGTATATCTTAAATTGCAGGTCAAACTCTCCATCTGCTCACTCTCGCCTAGCATTTTACATTTTCCTCGACCGTTTGTCGTGCCGCCTTGTACATGTTTTCGTTTAAGACAGATGTCGCTAGGGAGCTTCATTGCTCAACTCTCAACTCAGCTCTTCATTCTATTTTTCTTCTCCATCTACATCAATTTGAGTTGCCATACTGAAAAATTGCTCTGAAATATTTATTAAATTGTTCACATGTGGGTTGTCATATGATTTATTTGTATGAATTCACATATAAATAATAATAATAATAAAACCGTGTATGAAACTGCACCCATTTGTTTTACGATAATTTAGTTAGCTTTACGACGCCGACAATTATGACTAATTGATATGCTTACTTTTATGTTTCACACATGTCAAATGTTTGTTAATTATAATTTATTACAAGCATTAGTGAATTTATTTGGTCTACAAATTAACAGAGCAACTCAATAAACAATTTAATATTACTATTTTTTCTAAGAACGAGAGACATACGTGTATGCATGTATGTACAAATGTTAAAAAGCTTACGTAAAAACATATGCTGGAGATAATAATAATTATTTGCCTTTTCTATTAGATTTTACTTTTATAAATTGATTGAGTTGAGCTGTAAATATGCAAAATTATGATGGATTGTGACAGCCTTGTTGTAATTTTCAAAGATTTTCAAATCTTTGTCATGATGTGAATTATTACCAAAATAAAATAAAATATATTTATTATTCAATAATTAAGCGTTGATTTCATGTGCAAATTTTACATGAAATTTTTATAAAAAATTTTAAAAATATTATTTTTTTCGTACAAATATAAAATAAATAAAGCTTTGCAAAATTTGCTATTGCAGATAATTAGAAAATGCGAGGTTGCCAAACAGATCCATCAATCATTTTATTATGTAGTAAAGGCTTGATTGAAGCCTGAAACAATTTGATGACGTCTGCAATACTTAATAATTTTCATTACATGTTATTGATAAATACAGTTTTAGCTTCAGCATGCTTTTATTCATTTGTTTATACAAAATTTTACCTCAACGAATTAGCTACGAGTAATACGTCTACAATCATTTTCATTTACCATGCGAATTACGACTAATCGTGGTCTTCGATTGATTTTTAACGGAATCTTATGGAAATCCTTTGACACTTCGTCTTCTGGCATAGACACCATTTACGCGATTATAGCCGAGTTAACAACAAATTGAAAATACCAAGTACAGCCAGGTCCTTCTCTATCTGGTCTTTCCTACGGAGAGGAGGTCTACCGGTAACTCTGCTCCCATAGGTGGCTACTGCATTGAAAACTTTCAGAGCTAGAGTATTTTTGTTTGATTCGCTGTACTTTGTGAATGTCACCGTACATTTCATACAGCTCATCCTTCGTTCGGCTGCGGTATTCCGCGTTCTCAACTCGTAGAGGACCATAAATCTTACGCAAAATCTTTTTCTTGAAAACTCCTATACCGATTCATCATATGCCGTCATAGTCCGTGGTTGATATTGTTGTTGGTGTTAATACTGCTTTCAAGGTAGACGATTTCAAATTGATGACAGTCAATAGCGATGGCAGCCGAGTCGCGCATGTCACGACTGCTTGTGTGATGAGAGGAGATAATTCGTCTTGTCCTCGATCACTACCAGACCCACATCCGTCGCTTCCTTATCCAGTCTGGAGAAAAAAGAACTCACGGCTCAGTTTTTGCCAATGACACCGGCGGCGTAGAGGCAGCTCCATTTCCTGCTGTTGAAGGCTGCTTTAAAATTGATGAAGAGATGGTGTGTGTCGATTTTCCTTTCATGGGTCTTTTCCAATATTTAGCGTATAGTGAATATTTGGACAATGGCTGATGTACCAGGTCTAAAGCCATACTGATAAGGTCTAATCAGTGTGTTGACGGTGGGTTTCCGTCTTTCACACAACATTCTCGATAGGACCTTATATACGATATTAAGGTGGCTTATTCCACGGTAACTGGCGCAGACCGTGGGATCATCCTTTTTGTGGATTGGACAGAGCACCATTAGGTTCCAATCGTTATTCGTGGTTTCATCCGACCATATGTTGCAAAGAACTCAAGCGTGCATCTTATCAGTTCTTCACAGCCGTATTTAAATAGCTCAGGCGGTAATCCATCAGCCTCCGCCGCTTTGTTGTTTTTCAAGCGGGCGACTGCTATTCGAATTTTAAGCTCGGACAATTGAACAGTTATTTTACATCATCGATTGGGGAATCAGACTGGCCATCTTCTTGCTGGAGAAGTGTTCCATAAATTCAGTATACTCAGGACACCAGTTACTCGATCTCCTCTTTGTGTCCTGCAGGAATCCTCTGGCACTTCAAAACAAAAATATTAATACCGTAGAAGAAAATATTAAACACCGACTTTTATTTGAATCAAAATATTATTTGTATATTGAAAAATCTAGAAATAAATAATTTAAAAAAAAAAGATTTTATTATAAAATTTAGGTGGTTTTTTAAACTTGCACCATCTTTATGCGAAGAGGTCCATGATAAATTTATGATTGATTGTGTTGACTTAATAAAAATAATTTTATTTCTAACTTTAATTCACCTCTTTAAACAAGTAAATTACGCACAGTGTAATTCGCGATGCTATTGTAAAGCCGTATAAAGTTCAATCGATCGACACCAAGTGTTTTTCCACTCGATACTTTTTAGATCGGTATCGATAAATCTAATTTGTCTTAGCTATCAAGATGGGTAATAGATTGAAAGAATGTTATCGATTTTAGTCGCAAATTTATTAACGTCACCCTATTAAATTATTTTGGAAACGCAAGCATAAGTTCAAACACATTTTCCAAAATAGTTCCAAAAAGCAGAGTTGATTATTAAAATGTATAACAGTAGGTAATGTATTCGATCGATTATGCCGTCGACATAAATTGGGGATTCCTGCTCGCCATCTGAAGTGGTTTCTTCACTAATGCAAAGGAGGCAGAAGCAGTCTTCCCTCCAAGAACTCAGCATATTCTGAACATCGGTGGAATTTTTTTTTTGGTAAATGAGCATGCCTCTCTCACGAAATGATTTTTTCGTTGATTAATTTGACTTAAAACTTTATTGCCTTTCGATTTGTTATAATCTAAAAACAAAGTTGATGAATGAGTACATTCAGTTTATTTGGAAGTTTCATTATTTTCCGGTTCTCCTAAACGAGCGCTTACTGCTTTAGTTTTCAGTGATTCTTTGAATCATTTTACATTAAAAAATAATTAAATAAATAAACCATAAAATCTTAAGGAAGGATTTTTAATAACTTTCCGTATTCGGTATGCCTTAGTTTGCGTTAGCGTTAGGCTTCTGCTGAAGCGATTTTCGGTCGACCTCCACCTCCGATTGCGAGATGCTTTCATATTTCAGGAATACACTCGGTGGGCTTGACAATCTCTGCCGTCCCTGCCGTTGTTCATACCAAGTGTAGTTGAATTATGACTACTCCATGAAATTACCTAGAACTCCTCAAAGTTGCTTAAATTTCGTTCAGTGTCATCACATTTCCTTTTGCATCAAAATCAATGTAAAAAATAAACATTATAACAGCTGACGGATTTGCCATCATATAAAGAGCCTCATGTTTAGAGTGACAACATTGTCAACTTATCAGCAGTCAAACAGTAAATAGGCAAGGACGGAGGCTGTACATTAAATATTAAACAAAAACAAAGAGTAACAGCAAAGAAATGACAAATTATAACCGACAAAATGAAAAAAAAAAAAACCAAAACAGTTTTTTTTGGTTATGAATCAAATTCTCGTGACAGCTTTTCGCAATTGTTGTTACTTTTTTTGTTGCAGCACTGCTTGTAATCTTCTTCTAATATTTTTTGATGCTCTAACTTTGACTACATGCCGCAACAGCGCCAGACAATCGGCTTATAAGTCGGCTAATGCGCAGTTGGTTTCGCTAGTATTTCCGTTACATTCCCAACTGAACCAACAACAACACAGAATTGAAAGCAAGTGAATTGTTTTTTTTAGATGTGGGACTGAGAAGGGAAGGCGTTGCCAACGATTGGAAAATGCCGGCGAATTAAATTAATTTCCGTTGGGCAATTTTTAACACAAAAACGTTTTTACGCTGGACTGCACATTTCAAGTGCTAAACTAAGTGGGCGGTTTTTTTTTGTTTGTTTTTGACGGTAAGCGGAAACATTATTTACTTGGACAATTGGCAATTTATTTGCGGTTGAGCGAATTTAGATATTTTCCCTTTTCACTTTTATATTTTCTTCCGATTTCGGTTGTTCGGCGTTAATAAAGGGATTGTGCAAAGATAAAATCAGAAAAAAGGCGATAGAAAACTAAATCGATTTCATTGTTTTCCCTTCAAAGCGCGCTACCATCTATTTATTATTCCCCGCATTAATGAACCCACAAAGCTTTACATTTGTGCTTGGCACTCCCACGGTCAGTCCACACTAATTAGCTTTTGGATGAAATCG